CAGAAAATCAAATAATGATTCAATTTACAAACTCTGAACATAATAGTAAACAAAAATTCAGATTCCTAATTAAAGTAAGAAAAAGAGTTACAAACCATTTTGGAAGTTCAAAGCACAAAATTAACAAACAGCTCCAACTGGATTGTCTAGCCTTGTCAATGTGACCAAGATGATGCCATCCTCTTCTTCCAACATAAGGGACCAGTATCACCTCCCATGGTATCTTATAAGCTATATAAATAAACCTTTGGCAGGAAAAAATAAGAAATTAATTTATTAAAAAGAAATAAAACCATGCGCATTAATACTCATGACCGGAAATTTCAACGAAATAACTAATTGAACCACTATCACATGTTAAAATCATGATGCTTTAAGAGGTTTAGGTGATTATCAAAGATAGAGCAATTGTGCCCAGAAAATGTTTTTAATCACCACCAAACGAACTATTAGTTCCAAAAAATAATATTCAGAACTGTGTATTTTCTGTTCAACACAGGTATTTACGTATTTAGAGGGTCTAGCATCGGTATCCTTATTAATACCATATCCTAGTCACTGAGGTATTCAAGACCACCAAAGTGAAGTATTTAACCTAATATACCAGAAACAGAGTGGTAAGGCACCTTCTTGGAGGCATAAGGTGTTGTTCTAAACTCACCAGAATGCCTCTCAGAAAACAAAACTTGAAAATGAGAAGCAGTGGGGCTCTCATTTATCTATGAAATAAAAATTCATCACGGATCACAAACATGTATATCAACCTCAAAAACTGGCAAACATGTATATATCAACATCACAATCTAATACCAATTCCGATGTTAAATATCTACTCAAAACTAACTCAAACAAAAACAAAAACAAAAAATCCACCGCCTAAACGTCAAGAAACATTCTACAATGCTCTAAATAGGAGCAATAGAGTGTTCAATTCTACCACATATGTGGTAGTGTTTTGACACAAATAACAGAGTTTCAGCTACACTTGGCAACAGATGAGAACAACTGCTAAACTTGAAGTGCAACAAACACACACAATACAAACGAAACCTGATTAAACTCACAAGTCATGGGTTTTAAAACCGAAATAACTCGGAATCGAAAAATCATACTTTACATGCTAATAATACTACTCAAGCTCCAAAATGTGCAACAGTGCAAGTCCACCTGAAAACCCAACTAAACTAGCCTGTTCCACAAACAAAGAATTCCCAAGTAATGAAATTTATAAGCTCAGCTGAATTTAACAAGCTGCTAACTCAAACAAATTAACTAATTGATAGCAACTCCTCATTTTTCAAACCCACCAATCACCCACATAAAAAAAATAAAACTTTACAATCAATACAAAAATCCCAGATTACAAAACACTAAATTCAACAGAAAAGCAATCAAAAGGAGAGACTTTAATAACATTTAATTGATTCTAGAGAGGGGGCTAGATAGAGAAAGAGAGGGGGGGACAGAGGAGAGAGAGAGATTTTACAATACCTCTGCCCTTCTCTCTCTGCGTATTACATATGGAGGAAGGAGGAGGAGGAGGAGGAGGGAGCTTCGATCTGCGACTGCGAAGGAAGATGATCGCACACGCGAGGGGGAGGAGCGAGTGGCCAATTACGAAGGTCCTTTAATTTTGCCCCCAATTTGTTCCCGTTTTAGGGTTTCAAAATCGATCCCAATTCAATCTGACTCTCACCTTCTCCCACTCGCTGCCATTTTTTCCCTTTTATTTATGACCCGAAGCCTCGCGGCCACACGCGTCGCGCGTGCCGGCCCCTCGTGCTGTTGATGTAATTGTGCGACCACCGAGCGAGCTAATCTGCGGGTGTGGGTCCCCTTTTCACGCATACGTTATTGGCTGACTGTGCGCGTGTCACGCGTGGCTGCCCGCCCAATAAAGTCACTCGTCAGCTGTCTCTCTCTCTCTCTCTCTCTCCCCATTTACTCTCTCCCCATTTACTTTACGTGTTCTTTTGACTATTTATCACAAATTTATTTCATTTTGTTTCAAACTTCAAACCTTCATACTTCAAAGTGATTTTTCTTTCATTTTTTTTTTTCCAAAAAGTGGGATAATTTGTGACAAGTTACGGTTCTCTACCTCTTTGAAATCCGAAGAGGTTATAGAGAATTTTACTCTGCCTGTGGCTATAGTCGAGCAGACTCACTAGCTCGAAGCATCGAACTCGGAATCTCTCACATTTTTGTTTATTAGGGAACTTCAAAGTAATTTTTCAATCTACTATGACTATATTTACGTAACGTTATAATTTTATTTAAATTATAATTCTGATTTTTTTTATTAATACAAATTAAAAAAATTAAATGTAACTATTATATCGTCTACTTTTGCTATTATAACACATAAAATTATGCATCATGTGATTCGCATTCATAATATCCATAATAAATCCTCCCAATTCAAGACTTTGGAACTTTTTGTTTGGTGTGACATTTTTCATGTTGATTTACTTAATATTTTAAGTACGACTTGTACTATTATTGATGCAACGATATTAGGGGGATGAGAAGTTAAACTAAGTCACACAATAAGTAACACTAATTTATAATCAACTCATCATTCATGAGCAGGTGTGTTGACAACGATAGTTGTTTTCTATTGTTACATTAGAGGGAAATGAGTCGGAAAAATACCCAAGTCATGCTCCAACTCTGACATGCTAACTCATACATTTGCATACGAGTTAGGGTTCTCAATGATTTTTCCCACAGACCTAGTCTTCATGAAATCATTTTTAGGGTTCCCAAAACTAAACTCTGACTTAGAATTCATTGGGAGTTAAGTTATTGTTTTTCAACATACTTCTAGTTCTTGCCATACATGTTCATGAATGCTGCATTTCATTTTCAGCCACACTTTTTTGTTGAGGAGTATGGGGTTGCCAATGAATGCCAAAGTCCAATTCTCGATCTGTATATTTTTCAAATTCCAATGTGAGCGAATTAAATTTGAAAGTACAATTTTGAACATTCCTCTCTAAATTTCCCACTTATTTAAGGGTTTTGTCTTCTGTAGTCCAGCCTACTTAGTAGTTTGATTTTTTAAACAATCTTCACCGTTCGATTTCTTATAGTCAAATTTAAAGTCAATCTTCACCGTTTATTTCCCAAACAACTTAGCAGTCTCTTACTCAAAACCTAGAAAATTGACAAAATTATAAATGTAGACGTAGAAATGATGAGGAAAAGGAGGGACACAAATGTAGACACAATTCCTAACAGAATAGAAAACTTGCACACCCTTCATCAAAGCAGAAAGGCTCCACCATCCCATTATATAGAAGATAAATGTTAAAAGAGTGTTTCTCAAAAGTGAAACGAGAATTAATGTTAAACTGTAAGATAGTAAAAAATCTCACTTTGAGAGTCATCTTATTATTTATCTACATAAACATTAGGAAAGCTTGACAGTTCCTTCTTTGATCCCCAAGTAAGTCTTTAACTAAGGTACACCAGAAGCACTAATAAAAAACCCATTGTAAACAATGACACAAAAATACACCGTTCTGTAAAGAGAGTGCCAAATATCTTCCCAATAGTACTGCACAGACAAAACTGTATCTGCAGAAAAATAAGAACAACTTGCATAAATTTGAATCCGACGAGCTGTTGCGTTCAAGTTTTTCTGCAAAACTATAGTTGCAAGTTTACCAACCTGTAAAATGCAGCACAACTTGCATAAACTCTTTTAAATGATCAAGAAGCAACCTATGTCTAGCTAGAAGTCGTTGTAAATTTTTCGTTCTGGTATAAAAGTTTATTGCGACCAACACCTTAAACTCATACTTGGCATATGCTTTGATGTATTCGCTTAAGTAACAATGATCGTAAATTTCAATCAGGTTTTGTATTACAACGGAAAGTACGTGCATGCTATGTACGCTATTTGGACGGTACGTAGCGTAGAAGATGTTCAAAGCTTCAAAGAATTGAGTTCTAAAGCTTTGGATGAAGATGGATAAACATGTTTAGAGAGAAAGGAAATTTTCCTTGAAACTTGTACAAGAGTTTGTCTTCGGTGGAGATCGACGAGAGGGAGACAAGTTGGTTTATATTTCTTGGGTTTAGGTCCTCAGGATGCTTGTATGGGGTTTAGGTTTTTGCTTTATGGATCTTGGTAAAATTAAGAAGACTGTCATCGTAATCCAAGGCCACTCAATACTTTGTCTCATACGACTCAAATATATTGTAGGGAAAACAATCATTTATAGAAAACATGAGCTCACGGAGAGTTTTTAGGACTCAGAAAGTCTTTTTAGCATTTCTCTTGCTTACAATATGGGACTATGGGCAAAGCAAGAACTAAACAAAGAAATAATTAGCCTAATAAATTACAAACCGTGCGAGGCCTAACAATTTTCAATAAGAGTAGTACTAGGTAGACCAAATTTTTTAACCCAAATTTACAAGCTAAATGATGTGGTTGTAGATTATTGGATTATTAATTAAGTGTCGATTAACGTTCTTGTTTCTTATTGGTGGCACATCATTTGATTTAAAAAATTGGATCTTCCTAGCATTACTCTTTCCGATAATTGAACAATCGAGAGGGGTGATAAAAAATAAAGGAATGTTAAGAAAACTCTCTCAAAGTATGATTCTCTATGAACTTACTATTACCTCATACTTAATTATAATTCTCGTACCAACATTTTTAAAATCCACACCTTCCAATTTTTACCATTGTGAAATTTACTCGCATGCAAGGTGTCATCATAAGCCAAGCCCAATCAAAGAAGTTCCTTATAATATTGGAATAAATATTTAATTGATGCTTCGTTAAAGTGATTAAAAGACAATTAAAGAAATAAAATCACTAGTAAAATATGCCAAGAAAACTAACAAAAACATGAAATAAAGAGTAAAGTTGAGGAGAGGGACAAAGGAGAAGAAGAGATGAGAGAGAAAAGTATGTGTGGTGGGGTCCACCCACATATAACGCACCAAAACACCATATTTTGCTACCAAAAGCATACCTAATACAGATATTACACATACATCTTCACAAAATGGTTGAGGATTCAATCTGTCAACGCCCCTCCTTTTTCTGTATTTTAGTTTTTGGCATTTTTATCTGCTAATTCCTCAGCAGCAAATTCCAAGTTCTACTCCTTTTCTCACTCTTTCTCTTTGACCCATTTTTCAACAGAATCTCATCCTCCTCCTCCGCCTTCCATTTCCACAACTGGGTTTTCTTTTTCCCTTTTTCTCAAAACGATTTGAACCATTTTTTCTTTTGGTTTTTTGGTTAACATTTGCATTATCTGTGGGGCTATGGCAATTTAGAGGAGACCAAGTTTTCTTTATTTCCTTTTGGGGTTCTCCAAAATTGTATTTTATTTTTGGGTTTTGGGTTACAGAGAGGGAAACACACACTCTCTCTCCCTCTTATTTTTCTTGTGTTTCTAGTCCTCCTCTATTGACCAAAAAAAAAAAGTCCTCCTCCACTCTCTGGTTCGGGAGTGGTAGCTAGGGTTTGGGAGTAGTAGCTAGGGTTTTGGTGGGTTTGCTCTGAATTGGGCAGTTATGGTGAGAAAACATGGATGGCAACTGCCTGCTCACACCTTCCAGGTATTTATATTTCTTCTTAAACCACTTGCTGATGTGGGTTATGCCCAGAAAGGCTGAACTTTATCGGATCCCGGTTCTCCATACGCGGTTTAGGGCGGTTGGCCAGGGGAGTGTGCGCCCTCCCCGTGAATTAGAGTAGTTTAGGATATCGCCTTGTCAAGAAAATAAAAATCTGATCTTTATTTCTGAATGTGGGTTTTGATTTGTCAATTTGTGTAAAAGATCAAATCTTTTTGGCTAACATTATTGCTCTAACTGTTAGTTAGGTCCCTGAGGTACGGTTTTACTTTGTGGTTAGGAATATTGGGATGAAATTTTACCGGTTGGTTCCCAACTAAGCGAAAACAGAAAGAAAAGCTCGAATGCTCGAGTTTATGTTTGATAGACTTGAACCTAGCTTGGTGGAATTTGTTAATTTTCCTTCTTGTCCTTGTATCTACCCGTTTTCTGGACGCTGAATTACATTTTCTTGTTTCATTTGTTGTGCTTTCTTACTGACTAGTTCATCGAATTATCAAATAAACTGTGTTGTTTAATTTTGGCAGGTTGGCGCTATTACTGTATTCTGCTTGTTAGTGGTTGCCTTCTATGCTTTCTTTGCTCCCTTCCTTGGAGGCCGTATCTGGGAATATGTTTTGATTGGTGGTTACTCTCCTGTGGTAAGTGAAATGATTTGATGTGATGTACATTAAGCATTTTCGTTGTTTGTAAAGTTTTGTTAGAAAAATTGGGTCTAATTGCTATATTAAGTCACATAGAAAATTAAGAAATAATTCATACAATTATATATCAAGTAATGCATGCACTTGAGTAACCAATATTGAATGAACATAACCTGATGGATTAGAAAAACCTGAAAATATAGTCGAGACAAGAGTTGGACACTTTGTCCTTAAGACAAGTTTACGTCCTACTACGGTGCTCATCGTTGATCAGCACTTGTCTCCCAATATACAACAACCATGTCCTTGTAATAGTAGCACTCCAAATCACTAGGCTCCATCAACCACGATTGTGTTGAATACTCTCTCATATGGACTCGGACTCTCTAATATTTGTGCACTATATATATGAATATATGTATGATGAAAAAATTATTCTATGTTTATAGGGTTTCCCTATTTATAGAATTTGAGTTATATCTTTGGAAAACATGTGACCATTCATGAAGAGTCAAAAGCTAACTCTTCATTAGGATAGACACATATTTCTACAAAAAGGCTTAACTTCTAATTTCCATTCAATTAATTAATTTAATATAATAAAAATAATATTAAATTTTCCAACAATTTCATTATCTTATACGCATGCATTGTCTTTATAGATATGTCTGTCGGGAAAACAATGGAGGAAAAAATGCTGTTAGTCTTTGCTTTTGAATGTATTCCGTGATCTGATCCACATTATGTACTAATCAAAAGCTAGCCTTCAGTCCCCAACCTGAGTATTATGGGATTGAGTCCTGTCAGCTTCCGAGAAGTTTCATCATTCTTATTCTAGATGTTGGCAATGGAGATGAGAGCTCGTTCTTTATAAGGTTTTCGAATATGTGGTGCAAATTTGATTACTTTTTTTTTCAAAGATAAGTAATTTGATGGGGCCAAACTAGATAGAGTTTGTAGACTTCAGAGTTTCTTCCAAAATTGATTCTCTATGCTAGTCACATTATGTAATGCGCTAACCTTTTGCCCAATTCTTGAGCCATTCATTCAGAATGTCAACTCTTTTCGTTTCTTTTATATAGAAATCGCTTGTATGCCTGATGTTATTCCCATAATCTTTCCATGGCCTTGCAGGCACTGCTCGTCTTCATTCTTTATGTTCGATGTACTGCAATAAACCCTGCAGATCCTGGAATTATGTCCAAGTTTGGAAACGGAGTTCCAAATGGTATCAATCCAAATCACAGGTTATCAGCAAAAGACTTGCCGAGAAAGTTCGATGAAGCCACCACAGGCCATTCTTCTCCATCATCAGTTTCCAGAAGTTCTTTGGCTGGAGCTAACTCTAGTAGGAAAGGGTCAGTAGGAGAACTTGGGGTTGTAAATATTCCGGAAGAACCCACAGCTGGGAATTGCATTGGAGGAATTTGCTGTGCGTTGTTTGTACACGAAGATTGCCGCAAACCACAGGAAGGGGCAACTGAGAATCAGGGTGGTGAAGATGCTTTGTTCTGCACATTGTGCAATGCTGAGGTATGGCATTTTTACAAACGTAGTATCATAATTTCTCAATTTAAAGATTCATCAGTTCTAGTCTTTTTAGTTTCTCATGTGTTTCTTTATCAAGCTACATACTCCTAAATTATTGTATGGGAAGTTGTGAATCTGCTTCGTTTCCAAAGAAAAAGCTACAGAAGGGTTTAAAGTTATGATCTCATACTCCCCCTCAATAGATTATTGCCAGTTGACTTGTTTAAATATTATTTTTTATTACCCATGAATATTTTTCATGTTGCAGGTCCGCAAGTTCAGCAAACACTGTAGAAGTTGTGATAAATGCGTGGATGGGTTTGATCACCACTGTCGGGTATTTTTCTTGTTGCTTCAAGTGCTCCATATGGGCAGATCTTCTGCAACTTGTTTTTGGTTGGCATTTTTTAAAATCCTCTCTTAAAGTAACCTCAATATATACATGGCTGCAGTGGCTTAACAATTGCGTCGGACACAAAAATTACATGACTTTTATATGTTTGATGGCCACCAGTCTTCTTTGGGTAGGTATTGCAGTCCGATAATTATTATATACATTTTTAATCTTTGATACTAAGATGCTCTCTGTCTCCCCCCATTTCGGTTCAGCTTGTTATTGAAGCTGGAGTTGGTATTGCTGTCCTGGTGCGCTGCTTTGTTAATAAGACAAACATGGAGGCAGAAATTATTGATAGACTTGGAAATGGTTTCACACGTCCCCCATTTGCAACGGTTGTGGTACGTATTATATTTTAAATGCTTTAAACTAAAGTTAGCTTCCTAATATTTTTCTGGTATCAATTGTAAAGAAATCCTCTGTTGACGTTGGTTCTCATTTCTGTAGGCTTTATGCACTGCAGTTTCTATGCTGGCATGTGTTCCACTTTGCGAACTGTTCTTCTTCCACATGATACTTATTAGGAAGGTCAGTGCCTTTCCGTTGAATTCATTTTTCATGATGCGAAAGTTAGCCATAGTGGGGCTTAAGTGAATTAATCTTATGTTTTGAATTTGAATTAGGGTATTACAACCTATGAGTATGTTGTGGCGATGCGAGCGATGAGTGAGGCACCTGGAGGAGCATCTGTTGATGAGGCTTTCCAAAATTACATGCACTCCCCAACAGGATCGGCTACAACTGGCTTGAGTGGAGGAAGTTCTTTAGGTCTGCAATACAAGGGTGCATGGTGTACCCCTCCCAGAGTATTTGTGGATTATCAGGTACTTTAGTATTCACTTTATTATCTTGGTTTACATTTATTGGAACAGTTTTATATTGGTGTGCCCACTTAAAAACTTCTAATATCCTTGCTCATTGGATTAATTTTCTAAAACATAGTTACTCATCTCCCCAGTCTTAAGATAGAATTGGGCTGGAGCTTTGTCGATTGGTTAAAATTCTCTCTTTCTCATTTTGAAGTTCTTTTATTTCAGCAACCCCTTTATTCTCACCTTTGCCAAGAAAATTTGGGATGTAAATTAAATCTGCAATGTCTTTCATAACTTGCCTAGGTCATTATAGTTTGAGGTTTGAGCATGCTGTGTTTTTTGTCGACATTTTTTATAAGGTTCTTCACATAGATTTTTGTAATTCCGAAACTTTGGTCTTTTCTCCTTTGTTTCCTACTATTTCTCTATATCAATGTAGTGGCGATCTAACAAGGGCCCTTTTTGAACTTACATAAAACAAGTTAATTTTCATGTCCAATTTCAAGTATGAGGATTTATAATCTGGATCCAGATGATGACTTAAATAGTACCATTAACAATTTTCATTTATCTTGTAAGGAACAACTCTTTTTCTAAAATGTCTTACCGTTGTGACGTTGTCTAGCCTTTCAAATCTTCTTCCTTTCTCCATAATTTGTCAGTCCTCCTTTAGTGGCTTATAAGAATGGGTTTACAGCATTGACCCACTACTACGTTTCCAGTCTTCAGTTTGATACTTTTATTTTTTATTTTTCAAGTTCACTATGTAAGAAGAAAAACTTTATATATATATTTTATACTTGACACAAGCTTTGCTACATTAGGAGGAAGTTGTACCACATTTGGAGCCTGGAATGGTCCCATCAACTATTGATCCAGACGCAGCTGGAACTACAGAAAGAGAGCAAAAAGGTCCTAAAAGGCCTGTCCGCATTAGTGCTTGGAAGCTTGCAAAATTGGATTCCACTGAGGCCATGAGAGCAGCAGCCAAGGCCAGGGCATCATCCTCCGTTCTACGACCACTGGATAAACCTGATCTTGAACTCAGTTCAAGTGGCAATATGAGTGTGCGGAGTAGTTTAAGCACTGATACGGGGGCAAATAAAGAGATGAAGAATGATCTGAGGTTGTCAAGAAATTCCTATGCTCCAAGTCAAGGTAGCCGAGATGAGTATGAAACTGGGACTCAAAGCGTAAGTAGCTTCAGTAGTCCGACCCATGTTCAAGAAGCAGTCACACTTAGCCCTCTGCCACAGGCTCTGGGTGTGGGACGTTTTAGCTCTGCCACTTCAGTCCCCAGCTTAGTTCCTGACCGTCCATTAACTGCCAAGGCAACATTGCCTAATGTCAGCATGGGATTTGATGAAAGGATCATGCAGAGGGGAAGTACAGCTGATCCGTTACAACTTTCAGCTCCAATTATGCAGAGGGGAAGTACTACGGGATTTGATGAAAGGATCATGCAGAGGGGAAGTACAGCTGATCCGTTACAACTTTCAGCTCCAATTATGCAGAGGGGAAGTACTACTGATTCAATGCTGCTTTCAGCTCCACCTACTTCTCTTTTCAGGGATGTCCGAAGGACATCTGTTGTTTGGGACCAAGAAGCAGGGCGATACGTCTCAGTTCCTGTGTCGGCTTCTGAAGCTCGAAACCGGTCATCCATACAAACAGGATTTTCAAATCCTAATGCAGAAGCAAGCCATAGTAGAAGACCAGTTATTCCGCCACAGGTGCCTTCATCTTCTGTAGCAAAGCCTCCAGCACAAGTAGCAGAGAAACTGATGTACACAGGGGATTCTATATTCTTTGGTGGCCCGCTTTTGAGTGTACCAGTGAGGGATAATTTGAGAAATGAAAGGGATTTGGGTTCAAGAGAGGGCCAAGAGAGGGCAGGGCTGAACTTGCCTAGGGAATCCAGATTCAGACGTGATTCTACCTCAAACCAGCTTCCTGTGTTTATTCCGGGGGGTTTTGAGAACAACTCTTCTTTTTGGCCTGGTTCAAAATAGTGTTAAGCGACTGAAACAAGTGCATGTTAATCTCTTCCTCCTTGCCAGGATTGTGTAGTGGAGGAGCATGAAAGTCGAGCCAACCTTGTTCCTTGCAACCTGGCTGCTTGAGATTGTCGCTAACAGAGTTCTCGCATGGGGTTCAAGCAGTTTCTTCAATGAAATTCTGGTTCAACACACCGGCTCTACCTGAGGTTTGTAAATGAGGCGATCGTAGAAATGTTTCTTGCACTTTCTTGACATTGTAGGCAAAGATTTTATGTTACAGAGCTCCATTTATGCTCTGAATTTTAATTTATTATCGTATCTTTCCCACTATTTGAGATGGAGCATGTAGATGTATATTTTCAGGATTTATCCCGACCCCCCACCTCCCTATATTCTGCATGTCTTACTGATTTGCTCAACACAATTCCCGACATTCACCATCGCTCGGGTTGTGACTTCAATTTACCGATGCTGTGTGGTCTAGAGCCCCTCTGATGAAACGCGCCATGCGCTTGAGAACTTCTGCGAGCAGTCGCTGTATCAGTGAGATGCATCAGCCTCTCACTGATACGCACGCTTGCATGGGACTGGTATGCGCATGCAGAGAAAGGCTGACGTAGTGCAGCGACTGCAGTCAGGATGTTCTTCATGTTCTCGGATATTTTGAGGGAATTTTATCCATTTAACATAATCGGAAGGTTTTATCCGTGTTCTGCGATATTTTGAGGGAATTTTATACACAAAACATGAAGGGATCAGCCCGCGGTTTATCCACAAATTATATTGCGTTAACAGTTTACAAGGCATCGGTCCAGCAGATCAAGCCGGTTCAATGCTGGATTATAAACGCAATGGATAAACAGAGTAAAAGCGAATCCTACTCGCAAGACACAAGTATGATCATCGTGTATATTATGGTTTCCGGCAGGCAAGATAGATCGATTTCAATGGCTCATAACTCAGGTGGAAGGCCTTTACAAGGACCAGGGCCCTGCCAAAATGGGGTCCTGGATAGATATAAAAAGACCAATACAAATGCTTCTAATCTTACACAAATGATGCGGAAACGAAGATAACTTAAGCAGCTTGTTTATCATTCATTGGCATTGAGAATCATATCCTGATGTGCAAAAGCTTCAAATATACTTACTACCGATCCAGTACGAGCTGGTACATGACCTACAATATAAAGCCGACTGACTACCAGTCAAGGAAGAGGCTAATGTCAGCAACAAACACTGCGAAAAACACTGATCTTCCTTGTATATTGCCTCGAAATCCCGTCAAACGATGCACCAGGCTTTCTAGCATACGTTTGCAGAACTGTAACCTGAATAAAAATCCATCATGTGATGAAGTCATTAAAAACTAAGCAGGTATAGCTTCCTCAAAATCTTGTTACAGAATTCGAACGTGAAAGTAAAGTCATGATTTTACATTGACATCAGCTAAGCATTTATCATCACTCAGGGCAGTTTCTAGTTTAGACAGTAAGTCAGAACAACTACCACTAATTTTCTGGGCAATAAAACATTACGATACATTATGCCACCTTTTCTATCGAGATGATCAACAGCATCAATGTTCAAGGGCCAGGGCTACCGCCACTACTAGAGCTATAATTTCCACTTGGATTATTAAAATACTAAACATTCATATTGACCCAAGCTTTGTTTTCTTCTAACTGTCGACGCCTGCCAAAGCAATAGGAGAATGTAAGAACTGAAAAACATTCGTCAATGAACCTTATCTGTCTTGAACTAAAATTTATTTTCAATCTCCAAGCACAGGAAGAAAAAGCCACAACCAACCCCATGCCAGCGGACCATGCACCAAACGATGACAATCAATACTGCAACCTTTTGCACATAGATCACAACTTCACTTAAATCATCCTCTCTTTTATCAAGTTAGCTACAGTCTACAGACAAAGTTTCCGAATAGAAAATATCCAGATAAAAAGCTACTCAAGAGGAGTTGTGGACATCATATCTCTCTCCATGTAAAGAAATTCTCCACTCCACAACATCTTGTCCCACCCCTGAACCTTCACCGATTGATATGATCTTAAAACAGTTCCGTATCCAGCATGAAAAGTATTGGTGTTTATCTCCATCAGGGATTGTGTTGATGTAGAAGGAATGGAAAGTTAGAGGTGTGCCATGTTTCAATCTACTCTTTTTACTTTAATTTATAAATCGAAGTACAATAAGGTTATAGTGTCATAGAGAGATACAGATGCCAGGGAACTACGGAAAATCATTTATGAAAAATTAATTCCCAATACAGTCACCATGATAATCAAATAAATTTTGAATACTAAGATCTCAGAAGTACGTTAAGCTATATACTTTATTAATCAGATTATACGGAGTGAGACTGCATCAAAACATGACTCCTAGTTGCATCAAATAACTTACTAAGACAACATGCGTACTGGAAGCCCAATCAGATGACTCACCAAGCATCATTCATTTTCATTTGGAGCAGATTCTGGTATTTCTGCAATCCTCCGTTTTGCAATCTGTTCAATAAGAAGTTTCACTTCCAACTCTACATCTTGCAACCTGTTACTCAGTAATTCAACACTCTTCGGGTGTGGTTCAAATTTGCTAATCCACCCAGCTTCAAAGTCCTTAATCTGTTTTTCAAGTACCAGACGAGTCATCCTTTCCTCTTCTTCTTTCTTTAGGCGTTGCTTTGCCAGTTCCATGGTGCTCAAAACAAGACCACCAGACCCAGGAACATCCCTGTAGAGTGGCTCATCAGATTGTGGACAACGTGCTCTATATTCAGCAAATGCTTTTTGTGTTTCCTTTAAAGCCTTCCTGTAGCCATCCAAGAGATTCCCCATTACATGGAGTTCACGCTCAAGCCGATACATCTCCATTTTTCTCTTATGCTGCTCTTCAGCCTTGGCCTTCTGCAAGTGACCAATCACCTCCTCCCTTTGCTGTAACTCATCCAGTAACATCTGCTGGCCAACCATCGATTGCTCGCAAACTTGTTCTTTCTGCGCATACACCATCTTAGCCTTTTCCATCCAGTGCTGCACTTGCTCCACGCACGAATCAAAGTCACCACCTGACACCTTACCATCCCAAGGGCCACCCATCCTCAACCGCTTATTACCATTGAGAGGATGATGAGAAGAGTTATCATTTTCATGGACAAGCTCTCTCTCAAGACCACCACTTCCAAAAAATGAGGAACTACCAGGATGCATTCGACTATCGTCCCTTGAAGAAAGAAACTCCCCAGCAAACTGATCACCCATTGACATATCTAAACTAAGAGGGTTATGTGCTACTTCCATTGGATGAATAAGACTACCCGACGCCAAACCCTCTAAAGGCCTATCCTTAAGTGAAAGGTGAAAACCTCCCTCCTCCTGCTCCTCCTCCTCCTCCTCCTCCTCCTCTTCTTCTTCTACTTCCTCTTCGTTTCCTTCTTCATCTATTCCTTCAAAAAACTCCATATCTTTTTTCCCCTTCTCCCCACAACCCAAATTAACTCCACCAAGATTACACCGCTGCAAAACAGGTTCACTTGCACTGCCCTGCCCACCCAAAAACCATTGGCCAGGCTCTTCCACCTTACATTCTTCAAAATCCATTACAACCTCAACCCCAACTTGCTCCTTCTCGACACCAGATTTCTCGAGGTTTTCTTGCCCAACATCAGTTCTATCCACATTGTCCTGCCTAATATCAGCTCTATCCACAATGCCTTGCTCTTGCCTAACATCCATACTATCCACATTGTCTTGCTCTTGCCTAAAGTCATCTGTATCCACATTGTCTTGGCCAAGGCATAATTCAATGTTGTGCTCTTCCAATCCGCCGCGTCCATGTAAATCATCCTCCCCACCCATTTTTACACCCCCGCTACCATCCTCTTCCTCCTCCTCTTCTTCCATTTTTGCATCGACATCAACCGCATCAACATCAACAGCATTAATATCAAACTGAGGAGTCTCTTGTTCCTTCACCATAAGGAACCTCGCGTGCTGTGATTTTATCAAACACTGCAAATGCGACGCATAGTAACAATCCACCAATTTAGGGGCCTGAGCCAACTCCTTCTCCACCATGAACCAAATCAAACCGGCCCAATCCACCTTCACAAACTGCCCCTCTTTGATTGCCTTAGTCCAATTCAGCACCTCGCTCGGCATCATCCATGTATCCTCGTGCAAAAGCACCCAATTCGATACCAATTCTTCGATAAAAGCTATGGACTCCTCCGAAGCAGCCTCTGCAGGAGGCTCCTCAGCACCATCCGCTGCTGCCACAGCACCACCCTTCTTCACCGGTTTTGAAGGAAGCTTCAAGGCCCGGGCCAAGTCGGCCCGGTTGACCTTAACCTTTGACCCATTGACGTAGCTGCCCCGCTGGGTAGGGTTGAAACTGGAAATTAACTCAGCGAGAAGATCAACCCGAAGATTCCGATCAAACTCGACGTGGACAAAGTCCCACAGGTTGAGCCGCTTCAACAGCTTCTCGTGCTTCTCAAAGTCGAGATTTTTGGCGGGCACGAAGGGAATTGGATTTAGGACCTCTCTCTGGGTCTGAAGCTTCTGCTGGGCCTTGCTGTTCCCCGAAGCGGCGGCTTTCCGCTTCGAACCCAACTTCTTTCGCTTCTTCCCGCGGCGGTAGAAGGTAATGGTGGTGGTGCCATGAGGAGATCGGGCGGGAAATTCATCGGATTTGCCTTTAGGGCTTGGCTGCGATTGGAGAGGTGGGTTTTGTTGGATATCTTGGTCTTGAGGGAGGTCTAGGGATAGGGTTGTGGATTGGGAATGTGGTGGTTCGGAATAAGGGCTTTCTTGTTGAGGGGGTTCTTCTTCTTCGATTTGGGTCATGGTTATATCGGGATTTTCAGCGGGAGCAGTGGCCATGGTGATGCTCTGGTTCAGTGGAGGGTGGAAGAAGAAGAAGAAGAAGAAGAAGAAGACGACGACAGAGAGATGGTGAAGTGGGAGTGGGACTCGGACGAAAGGCAGGAGAAATTTTTAATTGCGACGGAAGTACTCCAATTATTTTAATACGAAATGAAGGAAAATTTTATTTTTTAAGTTATTAATATTTTATAATATATATTTTATTATTTGTATAATGATATGTGTTATATTATCCTGTGTACTGATTATATTGAAAAATTTCTCGGAAGGCAGACGAGGTGACTCTTTTACCCTTCCATTTTTCGGACGACTTTTGTCCTTCCAAAACAAAACGAGTAAACATTTTTTCGTGTTTGGAAGTAATTTAAAAATAACTGAATTTAAAAATATATATATTTTAGAAAATAGTTCGTATTAAAAATGTAATTAAATTTTAAAAATACACTTGAAGTGTTGTATACCATAATCAAGCTTATTTCAAAATGCACTTCAATTATTTTTTACTAGCATATGGGCACACATAAAGTGTGTGAGAAATTTTTTTATTTTTGTTTTTGAAATAGAAGGAGAGAGGAAGAGAGTAATAGAGAATGTGCGAGTAGGAAATTTTTATTTTATTTTATTTTAATTAGAGATATGTTAGAATTACATGTAGATGAGGTTTTGAAAAAAAAAAGCAAAATTTGGTTATGTGAAATTACATTTCTACCCCATATTTCTTATTCATGTTTTGTTTTAATTAGATGGTTAAACTTGTCAAATCCCCGCCTGGGGCGGATCACTTCCCGGCCCCGCTCCACCACTGTAGCACGATATTGTCCGCTTTGGGCCCCGACCACGCCGTTACGGTTTTGTTTCTGGGAACTCACGAGCAACTTCCCAGTGGGTCACCCATCCTGGGAGTGCTCTGGCCTCCTTCTCGCTTAACTTCGAAGTTCCTACGGAACCCGAAGCCAGTGAGCCCAAAAAAAGCCTCGCGCTAGGTAGGGATGAGAATATACATTTAAGGATCACTCTCTTGGGCGATGTGGGATTTTACAATCCACCCCCCTTAGGGCCCGACGTCCTCGACGGCACATCACGGCCAGGGTTAGGCTCTGATACCAATTGTCACATCCCGGCCCAGGGCGGATCACTTCCCGAGCCAGCTCCACTACCGTAGCACAATATTGTCCGCTTTGGGCCCCGACCACGCCCTCACGATTTTGTTTCTGGGAACTCACAAGCAACTTTCCAATGGGTCACCCATCTTGGGAGTGCTCTGGCATCCTCCTCGCTTAATTTCGGAGTTCCTACAGAACCCGAAGTCAGTGAGCTCCCAAAAGGCCTCGTGCTAGGTAGGGATGAGAATATACATCTAAGGATCACTCCCCTGGACAATGTGGGATGTTACAAAACTGTTAATTTCATAGAATTTTGGCTGACAATGAATGTTTTATTAATTAATAAAGATAATTAAAAATATTTTTCATCAAGAGCTTTCAATCATTTTATAATACTTTCAAATGAGACATTTTTTAAAATATATGAGTAAGCAAAATCCTTGATAATTTTTGTCCGTTTGATCTGGGATACATTTAGTTTTCATTAAAAAAAACGATATTCTACGCACTAAGTTACACTAGAGAAGGGAGGATTTGAACTTGTGATGCAGTATGTGTTGAAGAAAACAAATTCTAATAGTTAATTCAAATACTTCAAATATTTTTTTATTTTTAAACCAACACTGCAATTTGATCATTTTTGGTAGACCAGGACTGCAATTCGACCATTGTGTTAGAACCAGTGCTCAAATTTATTCTCAACATAATTAGAACATTTGCGTTTCATTTAATTTTACAATATTTTGTTGCATTCATTTCAACAATTACAATTCTATTCCAAGGCAAATGCAGATTCCTCCCATTCTTTTGCCATCTTCTTTGCTTAACCCAAAATATAATGATTTATAGAAAGATAATTGTTATTAGCACTTCAAAATTTTCATTTAGCACTCTAAACTTTCTATATTTAGAAAGAAAAATACGAGGAGTGTTAAATGAAAATTTTAAAGTACCAATATACAACGTGTGATAAATAATTTTCAGCAAGTTCCATTGGCTTTGACAAAATTAAGGATGATTTACAAGTGTTTTTATGTTTTGAAAAGGATTTACGAGAGTTTATGATATGACATTGTTCGATTATTAAAAAATATGGCCACTTAGTATTGGATAGGATTTCACATTCGAATCTCCCACCTCAACAAATTTATGAAAATATCGATGTTGATATTGATATGGATTTACTTCGATGGAAATTATGGAAACTTGCAACGGTTGGTATATCAACTCATTCAGATTTAGTCGCATTTAAAGAAAAATTTCTCAAAAAAAATTCAAAAGTTCGAAATATGTAGTTGGTTTCGAAAAAATTTCTGTAGTGAATCGGTAAATATCATCGATCTTCATTGATTTTCCTATATTTTGCTCATATATGATGAAGTTTGTATTTCACCCCATTTTCCATATCGATTCTTACTTTTTTTGATATTTCAACGAAAATTTCAACAGTTTCGATAAGATTTTAAACTTTGGTTATATTTTAGATTATCCACATGATAATGTTGTTTAATGCTCTCATATATAATTTTTGTTTAATTATATTGTTTATGTTGTAAATATGGTGGATGTCCACGCTGGCCACTAATCCACTAAGCTACAAGTGGGAATAAATGTTGTCTTTCGTTGTCTGCCAAAGCTTACTCCCTACAACTCATGTTTTCTATATAAATGCAACACACACCAAACATAGGTAAGTGACTCACGGTAGAGAGAGAAGAAGGAAGAGGAAGAGAGAAAAGGAGAGGAGATAATAGAGAGAGTTATCTTTGTACTCCTATTATTCAAAATTATAATAAAAGCACCACTGCTGCCCCGAGAACGTACTCCAGTCACACTGACTGTAGAGGAACCTCGTAAATTTTGTGTTTGTTTCTTTTATTCCACTACACACACTGTCGATTTTACAACACCTTATCAGCACGAGAAGCTCTCATGTCAGTGGAAGGCATAACGCCATAAATCCGGTGAAGCATTACCTACCTCCCACCTCTGCTAGCCAAAATCTCACAGAATAAAAGGTATGTCCATTTTCATCTCTCCCACTACGTCTGAAGCGCCCCACCAAATTCCAGTGAGAATTGAAATTTACAACGACCTGAAGTCGTCACGAGATGAGAAAACTGGTACTTGACAATTGGTTTCCAAAGATCCAGAAAAATCTCATCAGACTTGGAAACCCAGACCGCGTCGTTTTTGATAGATCTCGAGAACTCCCATGAATACTCGGTTGTCTGAGATGGTGATGGCAGGACTGACTCCACATAGGGCTCATTCTCTTATACCTCCATCAACTCCGCTGTCATCTATGTCCCTATAGGGAAGTTCTTGCTTTGCGACGCCATGTTCTCTGGGCCATGCAAGAACAACGTTAGTTTCTGGTAGCCTTATTGGATTGAATTGGCTTTGTGTGACCTCCACAACAACCCAGATGGCCCTGGGTTTGAGACTAGTACAGACAGACAAATAAGAAAAAGGAAGGAGAGATTATGGAATGGTGTTTCAAGCACCGTGTGAAAAAGGATTGGAAATGTGGAATTTTTGTGTATGATGTTGAGACAAAAGGAGAAAAGGACAAAGGTTTCTGATGATGCATTGCACCATCTAAATAATAATTAAAAAAAAAAGGGAAATGGGGCTATTTTGGAATGGTGTGTAGCATCATGTGAAAAAAGGAATAAAAGCAAAATTCTTGAATGGTGCACAACACCATGTGAAAAAATGAATAAGAAAATAAAAAAATAAAAAAAGGTAAAGGTTTTTGGATGGATGGTGTTACAGCATCTAAAAAAATGAATAAGCAAAATTCTTCTTTCTTTTCAGATGGTGTAACACCAACCATCCAAAAACCTTTACCTTTTTTTATTTTATTATTTTCTTATTCATTTTTTCACATGGTGCTGTGCACCATTCAAGAACTTTGCTTTTATTCCTTTTTTCACATGATGCTACACACCATTCCAAAATGGCCCCATTGCCCCTTTTTTTATTTATTTATTTTTATTTAGATGGTGCAATGCATCATCAGAAACCTTTGTCCTTTTCTCCTTTTGTCTCAACATCATACACCAAAATTCCACCTTTCCAATTCTTTTTCACACGTTGCTTGAAACACCATTCCATAATCCCTCCTTCCTTTTTCTTATTTGTCTGTCTGTACTAGTCTCAAACTCAGGGCCATCTGGGTTGTTGTGGAGGTCACACAAAGCCAATTCAATCCAATAAGGCTAGCACCCCAATAGTCGTTCGTTCTTTGGACATTAAGAAAGATCAATTTCGTCCAAAAGAAGATGATGAACTGGTCCTTAGTTCAGAAGTACCACATTTGAGCGCAATAGGTGCTTTATTATATTTAGCACAATTTACTAGACCAGATATAGCTTTTTCAGTTAACTTGTTAGCCGGGTATAGCTTTGCTCTAACAATTCGTCATTGGAATTGAGTCAAAGATGTTCTACGATACCTTCATGGGACAACAGATATGGGTCTCTTCTACTCAGACAAGCCCACAAATGAACAAATCCTTGTTGGTTACGCATATGCTGGTTTTCTCTCTGATCCGCATAAAGCCCGCTCACAAAATAGATATGTGTTCACTAATGGAGATACTGCAATTTCATGGCGATCAAAGAAGCAAATGCTAGTTGCTACATCTTCCAATTACTCGGAAATAATTGCTTTACATGAAGCAAGTCGTGAATGTTCTTGGTTAAGATCAATGATCAATCACATCCGGAATTCATGTGGTTTACCTTCAAAGACAGACACTCCAACTATCATCCATGAAGATAATGCAGCTTGTGTCGCCTAAATGAAGGAAGGATTCATCAAAGGTGATAAGACTAAACACATATCTCCAAGATTTTTCAGTGCACATGAACTTCGGAAGGGTAAAGTTATTGAAGTCAAACAAATTCGTTCCAATGAAAATTTAGCAAACTTGTTCACCAAATCTCTACCAAAGTGCACATTTCAGAAGTAGTGCAGGGAATTACATTACATCGGCTTACAAATTTGAAGAATGC